CCTTGGGGAAGGATTAAACAAGCCATTCCAGACCCTTCAATGAGCTTTGCAACACCAGAGATTGTATTGACATTAGTTTCCATCAATGTCATTTGAGAAAAATATTCTTTATTTCTAAAAATGGTGTGCGTTGTGGCACTGTCAATTAGACATTGTTCTTTGCCACTGGAGCCATACGCAGTTATCTCCATATCTTCTGAGAAGAACAAGGATTCTGGGATTTTGAGCAAATTCGTGCTGATAACGTGTTATAAAATGAGAGAAAAACTACTTAAAGATTATGAGAATAGATATAATATATTTCTGATTTGTTCTCTCTATTAACTCTTCACTCTTCTTCTTATTCTTAATGGTTATTATAATGGAGAGATTAGGCCTCTATTTATAGTGGAGAGGCTTGGTATGAATACAAATACAAGTGGGAAGTACTGTACATAATTGATACTCATCAATGGTTGTCTTAATCTACTATTCTAGAAATTAGACCTGATTAATTGAATAAATGAACAATCATTAATTTCATAACACATAACTCAATCATCATATGTAAAAAAGGTTAGCTAAATAATGTATATCTTATCTAATGCTTAGTACCTTCCCTTGCTTATCAAAGTAGCAACTTTATCAATTACAATGTCCAAGTAAACTTTGGATGCATTTGAGAAATAGTAGTATTATCTATGCAATATCACAGTTTAAAAAATCACATAATACCCTGTGCCTGAAACCTTACACGTAAATTTAAGTACTCACAACAAAATTTTTAAAAAAATCATACCCATATGTTGCTTCACCAAATTTGAGGTGAAATCTGAGAACACCGACAATGAACTGTAGCTTTTTGCTTCATATCTGCATCAATGCTCTTATCCCATTGTGTGAGTCCCAGATTAACTTCCCTGAATAGAAAACGTTTGTATACAAGATATGAAACTATTCAAGATAGAAATGACTGGAAAACTTCCCGCGGTATCCATAGATCAAAAGATATCACTTCTAGTTCAATTCCAAACTATTTTTCACAACAATTATATATTCAAAATGATATTTTTAGAAAACCAATAGTAAACATTTGTTTGTATGAAAATTTCTGTTTCCCTTAAGCTTAAAGTTAAAATCTCTATACAAAATTACAAAAAACACCAATAGATTTTTAATACTTACAAATTTTAACATCCCTATGGTTAATCTTGATGCTTTCGGTAAAGTTTCCTCTCTACGTCGTGTTGTATATTTCTGCCCACGACCTGGTTATCTCGTTGTATATTTCCACCAGTGCCATTCTGGATGATAGTTTTAAACAAAAATTATTGAATGCTTCCACAAGTAAGAGCTCAATAAATTTTGCATTAAACTTTATTTCCATTAACATACACCAATCAATATGGTAGGAAAATATGAAGTTAAATAAAATTCGAAATATGCAATGAGTATAGAATAATATATGAGCTCATCCCCCGCACCATAATCCTCATAAACAATCATACAAAATATGATGGCACAATACACCAACAGGTTACAAATTTTTCTATGGTGTAAAATCCGAAATCTAATTTTTTAAGAAAATGAAACAAAAATCATACGGAGTATAAGAAAAAGTTGTACAAGACTATTCCGATCCAAGGTATTCCGATCCATAGCCGATTGTTTTGTTCCGTAGCTAAATTTTTTCTTCGTAAGAGATTTTGGAGTATTTCCTTCTATGAGGAAGATGCTCAATTAATGAGATCTTAATTTTCTTGGTTGAAGAGTTTCCTTTGGTGAAGTGTTTCCTTTTGGTGAAGATTTGACTTTTTTTTAAAATTTCGTGCTGTGAAGAAGAGACACATGGCAATCCCTAAGCAGTGCCAAATGGCAACTTCTGAGAGTATCAACTCTCAAATTTTATATTAAAGGATATATTTTTTGAAATAATGCGGGAGAGAAGAATAGTAGATTTGTAACAATTTAGTATATTCAAAAGTGATATCCATAATAAAATGCCAAACAATTTCAACATTCCACATTGTAGATTCGAAAACAATTTTGTTTTGCCCGTGCGTGGCACGGGTCAAAATACTAGTAATAATAATAATGGTAACAATAATAATATTATTAATATTAATAGTAATAATATTAATAACAATAGTAATAATAATTATAATCATAATATTAATAGTCATAGTAATAATAATTATAATAATAGTGGTAATAATAATAGTAATAATAATAAGAGTAAATTCCCAAAATGGTCCTTTGTAATAAGGTATTTTCCCAATTCAGTTCTTAATAAGTTTTAATTACCTACATGGTCCTCTATAATTAAGATTTATTCTCAAGATAGTTCTTCGTAAATAATGTTACTAAAATGATTATTAATTGGGAGATATTTTAGTATTTTGATCATCCAAATTTAAAATATATTCTCGAAATAGTCATTTCTGTACAACTAAATGTCAAATTTAAAAAATACATTGAATATAAATAATTCATGAATTATTTAAAACTTAAAAAAATCTTTTAAATTTCAAATCAAATACACATATTTAGTTTGAAAAACTATTTTGGGAAAGCACTTCAATATAGATGATCATTTTAAGAATTAATTCTAAATTTAGCGGATAAAAATTACGCAAATGCCCTCAATTAATCCTAAATTGAATAACATTATTTACGAAGTAGCATCTTGAGAATAAATCTCAATTATAGAGGACTGCATAGGTAATTAAAATTTATTGAGGACTGATTTGGAAAAATACTTTATTATAAATGATTATTTTGGAAATCTACTCTAATACTAATAATAAAAATATTAATTTTATTTAGACTGAATTTAATATGATCTAATTTGATTTGATCTGATTTGAATGAATCTGATTTTATTAGATTTGTTTTCCTAGTCTAATTGTGAAACTAAGGCTGATGATGTTTATATATAGCGTTATACTCCGTACTACTAGTTTTCTCTATTTCATGGTTTCAATTTCGCATCTCAAATTCCCGATCGACCGACCATGAAGCTCGTGACAATGGACGCCGATACACAATTCCTTCCGGAAGACATCATCAGAAACATTCTCAGTCGAATTCCGGCGAAATCCCTAATCCGATTCCAGTGTGTGAGCAACCAGTGGAGAACTCTGATCAAGACCCCATCTTTCGTCGCGGAACACCTCCGCCGTCAACCCCCATGTCTTCTTTTCCCAGGGGAACTATGTTTACTCGATTGTAAATTGACGCTCAGACAAGTGCGGGTGCCACATGTGGTCTCTGACCTGGATTCTCATAGTATCATGCGTTCCGTCAACGGCTTGATCTGTTTGAAAATCTCCCGGACCTCGTTTTGTGTGTGGAATCCAGCCATAGGGGAGCTCCGGATGACTCCCAAAGTTACTGCTCCTGATAAGGGTCACTCGAATGTAGGATTTGGATTCAGTCCCATTATCAATGATTACAAGGTAGTGATTCTTTGGTGTGATGATTTTCCCTGTTATGTGCAAGTGTATTCACTAACCTTGGGCTCATGGAAAGTAGTCGAGTGTGAGATCTTAGAGGGCATTCGTCTTTACCCTGAGTGGACAAGACCAAGTGTGTGTCACGGGACTATTATTATTATTATTATTATTATTATTATTATTATTACAGTATTATTATTATTATTGTTGTAGGTAAGGAATTATTTATAGTTAGCTAATTATTATTAGAGAATATTATTTTTGTTAGGTTATTAATTAGTTTCTTATTTTATTTAGTTTCCTTTTAGAGATTGGATTCCCTTAGGCTTTTAGAGTTTCACTCTATATATTGAGATGTATTGCTTTAGAATTAAATCAATAAAGAACAATCATTTTCCAACCCTAATCTCTTCCTCTTATCTCTCGTTCTTCTCTTCCGCCGAACAAAGATTCGCGGTTCTCTCCCTCTTCTCGTCTCTTTTTCTCTTGGAGCTTGAAGAACGCTCGAAGTTCTTCCCTATCCCGATACGATANTAATTATTATTAGAGAATATTATTTTTGTTAGGTTATTAATTAGTTTCTTATTTTATTTAGTTTCCTTTTAGAGATTGGATTCCCTTAGGCTTTTAGAGTTTCACTCTATATATTGAGATGTATTGCTTTAGAATTAAATCAATAAAGAACAATCATTTTCCAACCCTAATCTCTTCCTCTTATCTCTCGTTCTTCTCTTCCGCCGAACAAAGATTCGCGGTTCTCTCCCTCTTCTCGTCTCTTTTTCTCTTGGAGCTTGAAGAACGCTCGAAGTTCTTCCCTATCCCGATACGATATCGTATCAAACGGATCGATTTTTTGGCTTGGGAGTAAGGATGATGGAGATATCATAGTTTCATTTGACATAGCATTGGAATTGTTCACATTGATTCCAGTGCCCGTCGTTGCAGACCCCGTTTGGTGGAGAAGGCTTGTGGTTTATGAGAACAAACTTGCTTTGTTTATGGAACATAGGTTATCTGAAAACTCAAAATCTATTGGTTTGTGGGTGAGAGAGGAGGGGAATGTAGCAAGCTCATCACTTGGTGAGAGATGGAGTTGGACTAAGAAATATAACACCACCCTTCCTTGCAAGGTGGATCCTTTGAGGATTTGGAAGAATGAAATCGTCTGCAAAGTGTATGAAGGATGGAAGGTAGTGACTCCGAGAATTACTCTCTTCAACGTCACGACTGGTGAATTTGATGCGTTTGTTATGCATGACTGTGACAAGTGCATTGGTTATGTGGAAAGCCTTGTGCCAGTTGGGGGAAATAAGTTGAGTGTGATATTTGTGTAGGATGTGGGGAACTCGTTAACATTCGAGAGCAATGAAACAAGCCTCACTCTTATCTCCTAATGAACTTGTGTAGTGATGCCAATGGTAACGATCCCTCATCTCGAAATTTTAGTTATAGCATTGTAGTTTAGGGGCGGGTTTGTCTAAGACTAGAGGGGGAAAAGTGACTTTGGCTAAATAAACATAGGGGAGTTGTTTGGGGTAAAGATGGAAGATGTGTTGAAATTGAGCTAGCTAGAACTATATTGTTTTCCACACATCACCTATCTTTAATTTATCAAGGTTCATCCAACAACTCCATGTTTTAATTAACAAGAATCACTTTTTCCTATTTCTTGATTATGTACATTGTTGAATCATTTAGTAGCTACTTAGAATTATGAGGTTAAAGACATGGTTTTGAGTATTAATTCACTGGTTTTGAGTTTTAATTCGCTTGAATTTTTTTTCAAGTAATACATATAAGTACTCCTTACTTGTTTAGCTCTCTTTATATTTCAGAAATAGTTAATTGGCACTTGTATTAAGGATTGGAATATAAGTTAGTTTTGCAGATGTGGATTGAAGATTTGAGGTATGTCTGCTTTTTTACTAACAAAGTTGTATGGGTTGCTTTATTAACAAGTTGAATAAGGCATATTCTCAATTTCTCATTAATTATTTAGCAAGAATACAAGTGTTGTGTGCATAAATAGAAGTCAAAACATAAATACTCATTCTCAGAATATAATTATCATTCATGCGGGTGGCGAATTCATTTATTTCAAATTAGAGCACATTCTCATTAATTATTAATTAGCAAGAATACAAGTGTTGTGTGCATTGATCCGAAAAACAAGACTCAAGGAGGCAGAGTCATTTTTTAGTGTTATTGACTCTATTACAATGTACTACATAATATCTAGTTCATACTTTCTCAAGCTAATGACGCACATTGAGTCAATGTCTCCGCTTCTGCTGAAAAATGAAACTGAGTTAAATTGCTCATGAGTCTTGGGGAGTGGACCTCCTACCACTCAAGCAGAGAGAGAAGTTCAGTACACAAAGTCATATGGTTAGTGCATATCTACAAAATCAATTTCTTTCAATATGCTCCATCCGTTCCAATTTAAGTTGCATGTTTATTATTTTCACGGTCAAATTTTAATCATTTTCTTTACTCATTTTTGTTACTTATTTGACAATATAGTTTATTAATGTCATTTCGTTTTTTGTATATATATATATATATATATATATATATATATATATATATATATATATATATATATATATATATATATATATATATATATATATATATATATATATATATATATATATATATATATATATATATGGGCTGGTTTAAGTGAGAATGCACCTTGGTGAAAGAAATAAGAATAAAATCTGGCCTTTGGATCTGATGCATCGTGCGGCTCAGATTGCATTCTGCACTCAAATTTTGAGATAGTGCATTTTCAAAGGATTATGGTGCATTTCGACATGATGCATTTTCAAACCATCTTGGTGCACCTAATTTTGATGCAATCCTAACCCTTAGATCTCCCAATCTAATGCACCAGATTCATTCTTATTTCTTTCATTAGATTGCTTTTATATATATATATATATATATATATATATATATATATATATATATATATATATATATATATATTAATTTTTAGTTCTACCTCAATTTTCATGTGAGTTTATTTGAAAATAATTTTAGTCAAATATTGTAAGGAATAACATGCAACTGAATTGGGGTGGAGGGAGTATAAGAAAAGAAAATTTAAATCTTCAAAACTTAAACGAAAGGATATAACAATATGAAATACATACGTAGCATATTTTTTTTCATATTTGAATTTTATTAGATGATGAATTATATCTTATGCGTAATCTCTTGTACATCCAATGCGTATTTGTAACTCATAAATGTTATGCGTTGCGGAGAGCAAGAAATGTTAGAAAGCATATAGGAGATGATTAAATTCTGAACTAATGTGCATACAGATAAAATGTGCATACTAATGTGCTATATTGTACTTGATTCCATCAATGGTGTTGGTCAATACAAAGTATTTTGCAATATTACGTTGTAAATAAGAATAATGGAGTATATGCAAAATAATGTTTAAATCATGGAAATAGAAGACTACAATCCCAAGAACAGTTCCACCTTGAAGTCGTCCATCGACATTGTGTATAAAAAAAGGGAATCGTCATATGAAGGCCGCTTATTAGTTAGACCCTGTCCTTTTAAGTCAAAAAAAATTAACTTTCAATATTTTCTAATTATTTTCAGTCTCTTTCAACTCCTTACAGTTCTTTCCAATAACATCTTAAAAAGGATATTTATACATGAATATGTATAATAATATAATAAACCCAAAGTTATAACATATCACCTCAAACACGGATAAAACTAAATTCTTCTTTATCCAAAATTAGAGCATTCTTACATATTTATTTAGGTGGTCATTTAATTGAATGACTTGTTAACACTTCAATTCTTCTAACAGTTTTCAACTTTTTCTTATTTCTTCCAACTTTATCTAATTTCTTCCGACTCCGTCCAGTTTTTCCCAGCATGCAACTCCAAAGTGTCATCACAAAACAACAAGACCTTATTATATTCATCCAAGAATCTCATTTAGGATTGTAATGTATTTGTTTCCATCACATTCGTATAAACAAAAGAAACAAGAGAATGTTTTCCCAACAGTGCCTAAACAAAAAAGCCACAAACAGTCAATACAATTATAACAAGTGCTTATATGTATTATTACTTGAAAAAACAAGCTCAAATTAATGCTATAACTAAAATGCCAGCAGGATAAGGGACTATCACCATTGGCATCACTACATAAATATCACAGACAACTTATTTCCCCCAACTGGCACAAGGCTTTCCACATAATCAATACACATGTAAGACTCATGTATAACAAGCATATTATCAGACTCACCAGTCTTGAGGTTGAAGAGATAAATTCTCGATTTCTCTTCCTTCCATCTCGACCATTCTGCAACATGTTTATTATCCACTCTGCACACGATTTCATTCTTCCAAATCATCAAAGGAGACATGTTGCGAGGAAGGGTGGTGTTAAATTTCTTAGTCCAACTCCATCTCTCACCATATGATGATGAGCTTGCTACAACATCCCTCTCCTCCATCACCCAGAAGTCAGTATATTCTAAGTTTTCCGACAACAAACGTTTAATAAACAAAGCAAGTTTGTTCTCGTAAACCACAAGCCTAGAACACCGAGAGTCTTCTTCAACGACAGGCACTGGGATGAATGTGAACAATTCCAATGCTACGTCAAATGAAACTATCACATCGCCATCATCATTCATCGCAAGCCAGAAAATAGTTCCATTTGTGGTCACACCTGGGCTTATAAACCTCAAAAGGCTAATGCCCTTTATAATCTCACATTCGACTTCTTTCCACGAGCCTGAGGTTAGTGAATACACTTGCACAAAAAAAGGAAATTTGGATTCCCAAATGACCACTATCTTGTAATCATTAATAACGGGACTGAATCCAAATCCAACATTAGGGTAACCATTATCAGGCTCAATAACTTCCGGCGTCATCCGGAGCTCCCCGATCGCTGGATTCCACACATAAAAAGTGTCCCTGGAGATTCGAAAACAGGGCAAGCCGTTGGTGGAACCCATGATACCACCATAATCGAGCCCGGAGACCAAATGTGGCCCCTGCACTGGTCGAAGCTGCATATTTTCAAAATCGAGTAAACGTAAATTCAGAGCTCGATCTTGTTCCCATGTGAAAAGAAGACACGGGGATTGACGGCGGAGGTGTTCCGCGACGAAAGACGGCGTCTTGATCAGAGCTCTCCACTGTCTGCTCACACACTGGAATCGGAGCAGGGATCTCACCGGAATTCGACTGAGAATGTTTCTGATTATGTCTTCCGGAAGGGATCGGGCATCGGCGTCCATTGTCAGTCCGTCCTGAGCTTGAGATCGGAAATTGAGATGAGAGCCTTCCATTGAAATTCAAAGGGAGATGTAAAACGGGTTATATATAAGTCTGATGGGGTTGAACCAGGCCGTGCCCTAATAGGGATTAGGGATGCATTTCAGCATTTCTATTTATTTTTAAAGTTGTTTTTAATTATTTTTTTAATGTTGTTTTAAATACTGTTTTAATTAAGCATGTTCTGATTTGGTCCATTTCTAACAAGAATGAATGATATTTTTTTCCTCCCACAAATTTTTTTTTCATTTTAGAATAAAGTGAGATTCTAGTTTGAAAAAAAATAGAATGACTTTGAAAATTGAAAGAGTTAGGCTCTGTTTTGTACCTCTAGCTCTGATCATATTGAATCTAATCTGAATTTTTAAAGTTTTATCTGATCTGATTAAATCTGATCTGATATGATTTGATTGGTTCTTAACTAATCTGATTAGACCTGATTGAATTTGATATGGTGTAATTGAATTTAAGTTTGATTGAAATTAAATGTAACATTATTACAATAATTTAATAATTTTTAAATATTATAAAGACCATTCATATAACTAATTTGTAAACAAATTGAAAAAAATATTTTTACGAGTAGGGGTGTACAAAAACAGGTCTGGACCGGATTTTGGATCTGAATCGGATCGGAAAGGACCGGTCCGGAAGATTCAGGTCCGGTCCCCGGGTTTTACAAATTAGATATTCTGGATTTCCAGTCCGGTCCGTGTTTTACCCAGAACTTTGCGGTCCAGACTGGAATATATTACGTAGTATATGAATTGTATCCATTATTAATATCAAGCCCAAAAGCATTAGATCCGGTCCATATGGTTTTAGATTCATGAATTTCATTTTTCCAATATTTAGTTTTAAAATATTTTATTTTAGTTTATTATTTTTTACGGTAGAATATATAAAATTGAATAAGTTAGAAAAAAGTTTTGATGAATTTGTTACTACTACTTATAAGTACTATTTTTTAAATACTTTGAACAATAGCAGCTTCTTATTTCAATTTTTTTCAAAATTTATTTAATAATTTAATTCATTTATAAGATTACAAAAAAGATATAAAAAATTCAAGTCTAAAGTAGGGTAAAACTGGTCCGGAACGGAAAAACAGGTCCAGACCGGAAATAAATAGATCCGGTCTTCGGTTCTAGAAAAATTGCAATTCCAGTTTCGGTCCTAACCGATTCCGGTCCGGTTTTGGACCGGTGCACACCCCTATTTACAGGGGTAATTTAATTAAAAAAAGTAGATGAATAAAAAAAATAACTTGCTAAATTTACAGAGACTAAAAACATATTTGTCCTTTTCATTGATTATGCAAAACAAATTATTTAAATATACCAATATAAATAAGAGAAATTTACCTAAATAGGACTAAAACATAATGACTTTCCCAATATAGGATCATATGTTTTTATATCCCAATGTAGGACTTTTGGTCATTATCAATTAGTCATTATTCAAGTAAATGTTCATCATTACTGAACATTATTCTCCCACTAGACATTATCAAATACTATTTAGGGAATTAAAAAATTTAAGTCCTACACTGGGAAATGACTTATGTTTTAGTCCTATTTAGTGCAAATTTCACTATAAATAATTAAACCAATACATTATTTAAAAGCAAAAAATCATCCAATTAAATGAGTAAAAAAACTAAATTCAGGTAAAATAAATATTGGTTTTTTTGTTTGAGTGTTCCTATATTATAAATTAAGATGTACATAATACTCATTTTGTAAATTTACTTTAATAATAACAGTAAAATAAAAAATGTACGTAAATAATACTCCCTCCGTCCCAAAAAGTATGTTACGTTTAGAAAAAACTGCATTCCGTAAAGTTCGTTACTTTTCTATTAAGAAACTACTTTTACCCCTTACTTTTTCATACCCTACCTATCACATCATACCTTTTTTCTAATAATCTACTCATCACATTCTACTTTTACCCATCACATTAAGGGTATTTTTGGAAAGTCAATACCAAAATATCCCTCCCTTAATTTCCCAAAAAGTCAAATCGTCTCATTCTTTTTGGGACGGAGGGAGTATTTTAATTATTATTAGAAAAAACTAAAATAACTTAGAAGAAACTAAGAATTAAAGGAAACATGATGAGTTTAAAAAAACACAAAGAATTACAGAGTATAATAAATATAAAAAACCATTAAAGGATTAATACAGATTGAAATTAAGTATTACAAGTATACTATAAAAGGAGATATTCACACAAATTTCTATAGACCTATAGATGAGGGTGATAAACAGTTACTTACTCCTCTGATAAGTTTTTTTTTAATAAAAAAATACTCTCTTCGTACCTAAATATTTTTCACACTTGTAATCTCGAGATAAAATATCAAGCTTTTTCAATTCATTTTATTTACATATTGGTATAGAAATAAAAAAATAAAATTTACATATCAAAAAAGTACATGAAAAGTTTTTCGAAATAAGATGTGTCAAGAATATTTTATTTTATCAAATAACCAATGAAAACGTAGAAATAAATAAAAGTTCTTGCGATTGCTGAAAAAACAAATGTTGCAAATATTTAGAGACGGAGGGAGTATAAATAAAAAATGTAGATTATGCAAGTACGAAAAATAGCGTAGATCCTACATCTATTAAAGAAGCACTCACAAAATATTATTTAGGCTCGAGTCGATATACAGAATTCAAACTATGGAAATGGAAACAGGGATTAGAATTCTAGTTATACTGTTTGGTAGTACAAAAATATATATATTTAAAATTGGTAAAATGAAAAATAAATTGAATTGGTGAATTCAATTCAATCCATAATAATTCCATGAAATTTGAACTCTCAATTTAATTTCAATCCTCTATACCAAACAAATTTTTATATTTGAATTTTTTAGGGAAAAAAGGAAAAGAAAAAAGAAGGGTAATATGAAGGGTGAGAAAGTAAAGAAAACAAAGGCCGCAAAGTGAGGGGAAAAGAGAGAAACGAGAGAGGGGCAAAGCTGGAAAAGCGGGAGGAGAAAAACGCGGAGTATTATTAATTAAAAAGCCCCTCTCTTCTCTTCTCCTCTCGTTGCCCCGAAACGCAAGGCGAAGAACAGAACAAAACTCCATTTCCCACCACCTTCTCCATCGTCTTATCCCCCCCCCTCCATCTTCCCTCTCTTCCTCTCTTTCGAACGAAGACGAAAGTTGCAGACATGGCCGATCAGTTGACCGACGATCAGATCTCCGAGTTCAAGGAGGCCTTCAGCCTGTTCGACAAGGACGGCGACGGTTCGATTCTCTCTCTCTCTCTCTTCCCCTCTCTTCGCTTTTCGTTTCTCGTCTTCAATTTTATTTTTCTTGTGTTTGGATGATTGTGCGCGCGCGCGCAGATCTGGCTGTTTTTTTCGCATTTAGTTCGTATCTGATTTCGTCTAGGGAAAATTGTTCGAGACTCGCCAGGAATTGGATTGCGATTAGCTGGTTTTTGGAGGCTTGGATTTTTTGTGCCTTATTGTTTAACTCTTGGATCTGATTTTCCTCTGAAAAAATATTTGTGTTGGTTCCGGATATGTTCTTTCAAAAATAGGTCATAGGGATCCTTTTTTTCCTAGTGAGTATATTTGTTTGGGGATTTGGGGGGGGATTATTTGGTGAGATATTGTCATAGTATCATTGTTTGGAGGAATAATTTGGTTAATCATTGTTATATTAGCTGTCCACTTTTCCTCTTTGGGCATCTGGAATTAGTTGACCACCTAGCATGTTTAGTGAACAAATCATTCTGAATTGTCAAAAATATTGGGTTAAAGTAAAAGTGGCAGTGTTCAGTTTCAAGGATTTTTTGTTACTTAACTATTTCTTAAATTTTATGAGTTGCGTAAATTGTAAAGTAGACAATTAAAGCCGCCTAGGGGGCGTTGTTCAAGTTGTAGATGATTTATGCTCTGCATAAATATCCTTTGTTGGGACTAGCGACATATTTCATTCCTTCTTACTCACTTAAAATCAGAGCTTCATTTACCTTCTCAGGTATACTGTTTGGGCCAGTAAAACAGGCCAGGCCACACACAATATAAAATAGACCAGTTTACTTTCTCCACAAAAGCCTCACCCCTATATGTATGTAGCCAATAATCTAATATACTTATATGCATTTGCATGTTGAATATGTCAATGGTTTGTTTTTTGACCTCCAGAGTCCAGCCTATTAACCAAAAGGCAACAAAGCTGAGTTGAGTTGAGAATTGAATGATAGCTTGTACTGTCTCTGTTCTTCTATAGTCTATACAGAATGACTTGAAGGCCACACATATATTGCATATGGAGTACATTGTTTTATCTCGAGATTGCAAAGTGTGATTATTGTGGTGATTAAATAGTCATTATTGACAATGTTTTAAGCTTGGGTAACTAGTGGATTAAATCATAAGGGCACGTTAAACTTTGTTTGTTTCTTCCTCTCAATGAAGGATTAGGTAATATATGCATCAGCGGTCTAACACAAACAGTGTCTCTTTTTTTACATGGGTAAGGGTGTGTACATCTTGACCCCAGATCCCAACAGAGTTGAGATTGTACTATGTTTTTCTGTTTCTTGTTTGTTGCTTGCTGCACGGAGAAGTGCGATTGCAATTGGAACGTAACCTAGTTCTTATGTTTCATTTGGCTAATTAGTATTTGCTGTTATTGTTTTGGGCATCGAGTGGCTGTTAATTAATCCACATGGTGATTTGCAGGCTGCATCACTACCAAAGAGCTTGGGACGGTGATGAGGTCACTGGGGCAGAATCCTACAGAAGCTGAGCTACAGGATATGGTTAATGAGGTAGATGCTGATGGGAATGGAACCATCGACTTCCCTGAGTTTCTAAATCTGATGGCTAGGAAGATGAAGGACACCGATTCTGAAGAGGAGCTGAAAGAGGCTTTTAGAGTGTTCGACAAGGACCAGAATGGCTTCATCTCTGCTGCCGAGCTTCGCCATGTGATGACAAACCTCGGCGAGAAGCTCACCGACGAAGAAGTTGATGAGATGATAAGGGAGGCCGATGTTGATGGCGATGGCCAAATCAACTACGAGGAGTT